AAGAGCGGTACTTGAGCGCTTCCGCGTTTCTCCTCAGGTACGTAAATCTCTTGTCGCAATCCGCCAACATTGGCGATGTGATAGCGCTCGTACGAGGGAATTCACCGGGAAACTAACATCTTACATACACAACAAACACACACATACACACACGCATTTGTTGCTGTTACAATGGCAGAGGTATTTCCTCTAAGGGTGTGTACTTTATTTTCCTTTGCCTCGCACCAAGCCTGTGTTAGCTCCAAGAATTTAATCTTAGAGGATATATTAAGGAAATTAATTTTGAGAAATTAATTGTTCTTAAAGAAACTAATTTTGAGACATTAATTTTAATCTACGATAGACAAAAACGAGTCTCCTCCATATTTAAATTTATCGACGCTTAAGTTTCAATACAACAAGTAACGTAGCAAATTCTGCGGTTTCGCGGAAACGAGATCTAAATATTCGTAAACGAAAGTAATAGCTCGAATCAATATTCGTACGCGCGCGTAACATCGGAATTTCGCTAACGTCAACGTCATCGTAACAGATACCGGCATTTGCTGCGGCACTCGACGTGTTAAATTACTTTCACCGATCGAATCGTACGTGCGCGTGGCCGCGGACTATATGAAAATCTCATGAAAAAATGCGGGCGATTGTCACGAACCGATGCGAGAATGCGGTCCCAACGAGATACGGGGCGACCGACCCTTTCGCGATCGAAGAATATCAATCTTTTATTTCGATAATCGAAATCAAGCAATCGCGTACTCGTTTGCATAAAGGAATCACGATTCTATCCATATCTTTCGTAAAGTTGAGAATTTGGCGAATTTTAAGACCATTATTTGCGTCACGACTTTTGAAAAAATTCTTGACATTAAATAAATATTTTTAAAGTGCGTGAAAAGAGAGAGAGAGAGAAGATTAATTTAATATCAAGAAAGGATTGTTTCAGCTTCGATCTTTATTTTTCTTTGTGTGTCGAGGAGTTTTCTATTAATATTATAATTCCCGATTTCTTGAGAAATCTTTCTAACAGAATATTTTTTATTAAAATAATTTCCTATCAAAAGAAAAAAAAAACAATATTTCTCTTAAAGATGTTAATTTCTGATGTTAAACTGCTGCAAAATTTGCGCGGTGACTCGCACCGTTTAACTTGTTGCACCACTATTTCATGTAGAAAGTGTCACATGATATATGCAAAATTACTTTCAATTCCCTTTCCAAAACGTTAACGACAGGTGTCAGATATCTTTCATGTCGCGCAACTTTAAATCTTAATCGCCAACATTACGATCAAATCAAACACTCTAATTTCAACTTTCATTCGATTCTGTAAATATTTCATATGGATTAAATAAATGATATATCGTATCAGTAAGAAAATTCGAGTAGCGCCAAAGGGAATATATGTCGCGAGAATCGATGGAGACATTTAAAAATGGTATCAATTAACACTCGAATTGATATTCATCGAAGTGTAAAGTGCATTCCCTCTTGCTTTCTCGTCTGAATAGCATTCGCTTTATATATTGTTTGTTTTCGCAATGAACTTTGATACCTGTCCATCCGATTTATCTTTCGAATCAAGAAAATGAAAATAAAAATCTAGAGCATATTCGCACTTTTATTAAATCAAACCATTTTCTCTAAAAAAAAAAAAAAAAATAAGCAGATATAATAAGATTTAAAATTTATCATTTCGATTTTCAAATGATAAGAAATCAACGCGATGCTAATTACCAATTAGCATCGAATCATGCACTTAATGATGTTAGCGATTTTAGCGATTACGAAGAAAGGAATTCCACTTGTGAAATAAAAGGAAGAGAAGAGAGAAATTAAGAGAGATGACTCTTGAAAAATCCAGTAATTACAGAGAATTGACTGTGTATGTACCACGATTTTATTCTCGTAATTATTTTATAGCAATTATCTCTCGAAATGGAAAATGTGCTGCATCTTATCGTAAAAGTCATCGTAAAAGATTCTCGAAAAAATACATATTCACAAATTTCTGACATTTTAAACACAAGTCAAGAATTCAAACGAATTTTATGATCGTGTTAATTCGCTAATACTTTATGAATAATTATCGGCAAATCGAACGAAGAAACGATCCATGGTGTGCAATGTCAAAACGCACAGTATGACAAATGAGCGATCTTGAAATAATTCTTATTCTGTTAGATAAATTTTTAATTATTTAATTATTATTTTATATTTAATATTAATTATTTAATATTTAATGATTGCACACATAAACACACATAACACAAACTTATTATTATTACTTATTATTTATTTATTTCGATCATGAAATAATAATAAAAAATTTATATACATAAAAATAAGAATTATTTTCCTTCATATCGCTCATTTGTCACACTGTGGCAACGGATTACAAGCGAGATAGAGACTCACCCTTGTGTCTGCGCCATTGCCTGTAGAGGAGCGCGGCAACGGCAAGCAGGAGGATCGTCGTCAGAAAGGTCCCGATCACGGCCCCGGCCACGCTTCCCGCCCCGAAGCAGGTATCCTGCGCTGCTGCTGTTGCGTCTTCCATGACTCGCTCGCGCTCAGCTCAGATCCGCCTCTCGCGCATATTCTCGCGCGAAGCTTCAACCGGTCGCGGCCGTTTCTTTTGCTCGCGACTCGCCTCCGCTCTTTTTTCCTCTCCCCTTTTCCTTCCTTACGTCCTTCCTTCTCCTCGCCGTCTCGTCAATTTGATCGCATAGTTTCGCGCGTGTGCGAATCCTTCCCGGACGAAAGGCGCGTTCGCCGGCTCGCCTACCTTTACCCTTCTCACTCTCTCTTTCTCTCTCCCTCGTTTCTTCTTTCTCGTTCCTCTCGTATCTAACACCGATGGTGTTTGTCTCGGACGCGCGAATTAAAAACACGCGTTGGAGAGCGATATTTACCGTCGTCAATCACAATCGTCGTAATCGTCTCATCGCGTGTCGGTTTTAAACGCGAACAACGTGCACTCGCGTGAAGTTTCCTCCGCGACGTGAAGTCTCTCCCTCTCTCTCTCTCTCTCTCTCTGACGATGCTGCGAGACCAAGTTCTCGCGTTACGATATTCGACGACCAAGAGTGACGAATTCGTCGCCGAATTCGTTTCTCGAACGAGCGTTGATCGCGGATGAAAGATCTCTCTTTCAACTCTCGAGCCCGGGAATGTCAACGCGACATTTTTATCGGACTTTTTCCGCGAAACACGCGACTTCACGAACGCTCACGCGCGCGAGAGTAAGAATCTCGCGAGCGATCAGAAGTTGCACCCGCAACCGCACGATCCTCTCGCTGCAACGTCACGCGACGCACTGACTGACGCGGAGCGAGTAAAACAGGTAGGCGAGCAACAGGTGCTTCTGACTCCTGCGTGGCGGGGAGTGGGGAGGAGGGCGGTGAGAGAGGAGGGGAGAGATTATAGTCAGGGCCGATTCTACGCGCGCGTCGAATGGGAGACTCGATTAAGAACGTTCCCCTTTCAAATTTCAATTTCAAAATTTATGCATCTGCACGTTTGAATATTCAAGCTTTTTTCCATAGCATATAAAACGCATTTCTAACTTTGAGTAGATAAGTTTGCAAGTAGATAAATAGATAATATAAGTCTTGAGGGATTGTTAAAAAGAATAACTTCTCTTAGAAATATATATATTATTATTATAACGTATATTCTTTTACAGGTTAAAATTTTATTTTGAGAATTGTGTATAAAACTTATAATTGCAAAAATTTTATTAAAGATGCAAGAGAGATGAATTATATTATACTTGATTCATACAATTTGCATTTTTATCTGAAATATCTATCCTAAAAAATATTTTTACCTTATTTTTTACCCTTGCTTTTCATTGGCAGTTTTTTCTGGAAGTAATATATTGTAAGTAAACGTACGATCAATCGTTCTGTAAATTGCGTTCAAAAACCATTCGAATTTCTACTCATTGGAATACACTAGGGTTCGATTGACCAATCAGAAATCTCGTCTCCTTTCTGATTGGACTGAATCGAGCTACGTCTATCCAACGAGAAGATCGGAATAGATTTTCGAACGCGACCGGAATCGCCATTCGTGAGAGGCAATAACGTTGTTCTCCTTCAATATCTTGCGTGAGGATCCTTAATCGACGAGAAACATGACCAAAAATATGGTGAGGAAGCTGGTGGAGAACGGCGATCATCGCGGGGCTCATGGACAGGCTTATAAAGATAAGAGCAAGCCCACAGATATTCGCAGCAGCAACATCAACGCTGCCAAGGGTAAGAGCGACATGCGATTCACCGCGACCATGTCCTTTTTCCCGGCGTGTCAGGAAAATATTACCTTATATAGCAATGTGCCGCGATGTCTCTTCACGTGCGCATCGATACATTGCATATCATAAATCGAGTCTGATTAAGAACAGGAATAAATGTCACTATATGAATAAAATATATTTTTCCATGATATAAGATGAAAAATCAGTATTCCACTTCAGGATCTCTTTATTGCTATTCGAAATGAGCGAATTACGTCACTTCCTCGTCTCTCCTGTGTATTGTTATATATCAATATATTTCTCTCTTTGCAGCTGTTAGCGATGCGATACGCACGAGTCTTGGACCCAGGGGAATGGACAAAATGGTAAATTTTATACTTATTTCGCTTTTTTGAAATTTATTTAAAATTATTGTAATATATTAATTAATATCTAATATGCTGACAGATTCAAGCTAGTAATGGCGAAGTTACTATCACGAATGATGGTGCTACTATCCTGAAAGAGATGAATGTAGTCCATCCTGCTGCAAAGATGGTAAGAAGAATAAATTTTTTATTTAAATTTCATAAAATGTAACAACATATATATAATGTATAATATATTTTGCATTTATAGCTTGTTGAGTTGTCCAAGGCTCAGGATGTTGAAGCTGGTGATGGTACGACAAGTGTTGTTGTGATAGGTGGTGCACTTTTAGAGGCGGCGGAACGCTTGTTGCAGAAAGGTATTCATCCCACTTCGATTAGTGATGCTTTTCAGAGGGCAGCATCTAAAGCAGTATTGATTCTGACGCATATGTCGATACCTGTTGACCTAACAGATAAAGAGTCTCTTGTAAAGGTTGCAGCAACATCTCTTAATTCCAAGGTATCTAAATTAGCGTTGATGTGAGATTACAATAATAATTGTAATATTTTTAATTATCTTTGTATAATACAAAGTGTTTAATTATTTTATATATATATATATATAT